CAGGGAGCCCGATGCAGGGCTCGATCCCAGGACCCCGGGATCATGACCTGAGCCGAAGGCAGATGCTTAACGACTGAGCCACCCAGGCGCCCCTGAGGCATACATTTTAAACAGTGCCTAAGGTGATCAAGTTAGTGGCTGATCCAAGCCCGGCAGTCAATTCTATTTCTAAATTCTCATCATCAGACTTCACTATGGAACATTAGGCATTTCAAAGTATGGTCTGTGAATGTCCCTTAGTCAGACCATAAACATAAACTGGTTTCTTGTTGTATTAATATGTATAACATGACAGTGCCTGCAACTTTGTGTTTAATTTTATTAATAATTCCCTTTTGATGATTTCATTTGAAAGAATATGTCACTGGAATTTCCTCAAAACTATATATATTCTAGCAACATTAATTGTAATTTATTTCTAGATACAAGCAGGTATGATGCTCTGTCCAAAGTTCAAAAATATTTTACAAATGCTCTTGTATTTTTTACTTCAGGGATTTTCATATTACAGTGAATGTAATTAGGAAGGAAGATTTTTGGGAGACCAGTAACAATAGAGCAAATCAAGGAGGTAGTCTTTAGTCTTTTCCTATTTATGACCTGAGCAAGTGCTCTGTAACTTATCTTTACAACTAGACTCTAAACTATAGGGCAGATACTATTGTACACCTTTTTGTTGCCTAAATTAAACACTAATAATTTTAAAAGAAAAATCGATCTCATTGGCTGATTTGTTACGGTTTTCAGCTTATATATAATATAAGGATTTTAGCTTATATTTAATAATAATACATTTAAGCCTTTTGACAGTTTTGTATACATCTTTTTGTTGGTGTTTTTCGAACAGAGTGATGGCAGTTCCTGCCACAGTTATTTATTTTACCTGCTATGATCAATTATCTGCTCTCCTGAGATCAAAATTAGGAGAAAATGAAAGTCATATACCAATTATTGCCGGAATTGTTGCCAGATGTAAGTAATAAACTTACTGTATTTTCATTTTGATTTCTGTTTAAAACTTCTTTTACAATTTTGACAGTCACAGATAATTTTGTAGAAAATGCAGAGTGTTGGTACATTTTGCATTGTAGCTTGTACTAATTTGTTAATACCTATACTCTAGAATTCTAGTCATATAGTATGTAGCGATTGCCATCAGAATAAGATGGAATCAAGCCATCCCTATTGAATCTTGGACAGAGAGTTTAGACTTTAGATTCTAGATTTTACAATGACATCAGATGTCAGATATCAGATGTCAAGTTGATGTCAAATTGATGCCCAAGTCCTGAATCCTTTTCCTTATAGATAACTCTGGGATTCAGAGTTTAATGAGAAGGAAATTTGCATCTGTACAGAAAGATATTTTTCTCTGTGCTGTGGGAGTGAGGTTTTATAGTAGTTTAATTGATGTATAATATTTCTGGAACTGCTCGTGAAAGAGGTGAAACCAGGGGTGCCTGGCTGGCTCAGTTGGTGAAGCACGCGACTCTTGACCTTGGGGTTGTGAGTTCGAGCCCCATGCTGGGTGTAGAGATTACTTAAAAAAAAATAAAATCTTAAAAACAAAGAGTTGAAACCAGAAAGAATAAGTTACATGAAAGCAGGCTTTTAAGAAATACCTTTATCAAGGAAAAAAAAATGTGCACCAATATGTTGGCATCATTAGATATTTGATTTTAAGGCTTGCAGACATTTCAGAATGAAAGATATATATATAAAATGCATGAAATATTTTTGCATGTGTGTTTGCGTAGTACATGGCTTTGTTTTTGTTTTGTTATATTTGCTTGTTTATATTAGTTGGTGCAGTAACTGTGATAAGTCCATTAGAATTGATTAGAACCAAGATGCAATCTAAGAAGTTTTCTTACAAAGAATTGCATCGATTTGTCAGCAAGAAAGTATCTGAAGATGGTTGGATTTCCCTTTGGAGGGGCTGGATTCCTACTGTTCTTAGAGATGTACCGTTCTCAGGTAGGATTTATCTTAGTATCTGCTAAATTTTAGGTAGCGTTGTCTTATGTATATATCACTTTTATTTTATTTATTTATTTTTTATTCAATTAGCCAACATATAGTACATCATTAGTTTTTGATGTAGTGTTCAATGATTCATTATATATATCACTTTTAAATTAAGTAAATTTGAAGCCCTTTAAGGCTAAAGGTAAGTTATCTTCTTTGGTGACCACAAATTCCTAGTTCAGTGTTGGGCCCTCATGTCTTGAGGAGTCTTTATTGGACAAGTAGTTTCTAATTCAAGCCTGACTTTCTGTTTTCCTTCTGTTTCATTTTTTTTAAAGCTATTAATCGGTATATATTCACATTTAGATAAAACAAACTACCTTTAACATTACCCTAAATGCGATAATTACTAAGGTAAATGAACTACTACAAATCAAAATATAAAATGTTTAAGAGCTCCTGTCAATTATATTGATTTCTACTTTTTCAGTTATTAGAGATAAAAATCTTCCCCTTTAAATGAGTATCCTGTAAAATACTATTATAAATCAGAGAGGAGATTGTGCTAATTATTGAATTGTGAAGGAGGGAGAAAATCATGAAAAAGTGCAAAACTAACAACTTATAAAATGTGCATGCTTCAAAATTCCTTTTTTTCCCCCTTCGAATTAATCCTTTTCTTGTGCTCTCTTCACATCTCTGTGCATCTTGCCCTTTCCATTAGTATTCCTCTTCAGCCTTTTGTGTTTAGTTATGTGATTTAAAAATACAGATTCCTAGGCCAATTATTTTTCTTCATTTTTTTATATGATATTTGACACATAAGAAGTAATGTAGTATAAATTATGAAGTATATTAATAAAACGAACACTTGTGAGGTCACCATTCAATCTCTGAACGAGAACACTGCAATTTTTTAAATCATGAAACCACATATATTCATTCACCTCCGCTGTCAACATCTCCAGTGGTAACCACTGTACTGAACTTCATCATTCATTTGATTTTTAAAAAATGGTTTTACATGTGTATTATTGCCAAACAGTATGTTACTTAGTATTGCCTATTTCTGAGCTTTACTTTTTTAAGATTTTATTTATTTGACACAGAGCGAGAGAGAAAGAGCACAGGCAGGGGGAGGCGCAGAGGGAGAGGGAGAAGCAGGCTCCCCGCAGAGCAGGGAGCCCGATGCAGGACTCGATCCCAGGACCCTGGGATCATGACCTGAGCTGAAGGCAGTCGCTTAACCAACTGAGCCACCCAGGCGCCCTAGGTGATAGTTTTTAAGTTGGCTAGTTTATTTAAATAAGATAGATGATTAGAACAAACAAACGTATTGCTTTCGAGTGTAGTGTCTTACTTCAGGTCAGAATGTTAGTGTTGTAAAGATTTTAGAGATCATCTAATATGACTTCTTCATTCTCAGATGAGGAAAAGTTTTCTTAGAACCACCTTTTGGCACTTTTTTCCTACTTGGATAAAATAGCATACAAATTAAAACCATTCTCCTTTACTGTGCTATTCCTGAATGGAGTAACACTGTGTAGTAGTAAAGATGATTTATGGCTAGCTTACTCAAATCTTCATTATGTATAGTTTTTATTTGATACAGCTGAATTTAACAGATGAGGAAGTCTAATATTGTTTGATTACTGATTACTTGTAATGCAGTTATTCTCAAATTTTTAAATAGACTTCCAAAACATTTATTCTTTACCTTAGATGATGTATTTTCTTTAAAATACTAGTATTTTAGTTTTAATGCTAATGGAGTTATTGTAGAAATATAATAAATGACAGTTTAGTAGTCATGAAAGAAGTAATTACATTGTCTTCTCATTGATCCTCTAAACAGAATTCAAGGGCAAAAAATGAGAATGTTACATTTAAAACCATTTTAAGATAAATAACCTTACTTATTATATAGTCATGAAGAGGGATTGATTTGACATATTTTGTGATTTTTGGACAAATGTCTGTACAATTTACAGGTATCACTTCCTAATTGAAATTTATGTTTCTTCATAGTGACACCCCTCGATGTTGTTAAAATTCGACTCCAAGCCCAAAACAACCCATTCTCCAAAGGTATGTGTACTAGTTATCCTGGAAATGTTATAATAGGCTTTTAAATTTTACTTTATTCATTTTTATTTGAATAATTTTTTTTTGGTTAATTTTTAGAAGTTCATACCTCCTTATACTCATGCAGAAATGTTTTTTCAGTACTTAGTTGTACATGATGGGTTCTAGCCAGAAAACAAATATATATAAAACAGTTATAACACTTTTTTTTTTTTAAGATTTTATTTATTTATTTGACAGAGAGAGACACAGCGAGAGAGGGAACACAAGCAGGGGGGTTGGGAGAGGGAGAAGCAGGCTTCCCGCTGAGCGGGGAGCCTGATGTGGGACTCCATCCCAGGACCCTGGGATCATGACCTGAACCGAAGGCAGACGCTTAACGACTGAGCCACCCAGGTGCCCCAAAACAGTTGTAACACTTTTATGTACCTAATTAAAGCATAGGATGATTTAATATTTGAGTATGTGCCTCACAAGTAAGAACAGAATTCTAAGCATAGGGGTCTTAGAATCTAGCTTCCTCCATAGTCCAAGAGCTGTGCCCATTCTAAAACATTCATCCAACAGTCATCTAACTGTTGCTTGAATATAGTGGTAGGAAATGATTATCAGGCAACTTCGTTAATTGTTGGACAGTATAGTTTATATGAATTTGAAAACAGTAGTTATACATCTTTATTAGATGGGCAAAAATAGCAATTCCTCGATAAATCTTTTACAGTGTTATAAAGATAATGACATTACAAACATGTTTAAAAAGCAGAAAACAGACTGCTTGGACTGTGAGAATGTTGGCTCAGACATAGAAGCCACTCTGATGAACACAGTACTGAGATGGAATGAACAACAGTCATAATTCAGATGGAGGACGGGATAGATGGATTGTAGGAGAAGACTAAAAGGAAAGCAGTTTCCTACACGTTTAAGAAATCCTTAAAAGCAGAAGGAGACACTGGACTTACGTGTTACGAGACTCACAAATATGGTTGACCAGAAAAGATAATTTTGGCAGCCAGGGTGAGTCCAATAATGGGAAAGAGTTGCTATTAGGGAAAGTTGAAGTAAATTAGCTGGGAGCTGACGAATGTCTAGAATGAGCAGTATAAATACAGAGAAAGAGACAGCATAGCACTGTTTACATTGATAGAGAAGTACTTTTTTTAATCATCTATTTTTCTAATTGAGATATAATCTACATATAACATTGTAATAGTTTGAGGTGTGCCATATGATGATTTGATGTATGTATATATTGCAAAAAGATCACCACAGTAAGTATAGTCGGTATCAATCACATCACACAATTATTTTTTTTCTTGTGAAGAGAATTTTTAAGATCTACTCTCAAGTTTCAGATATCCATTAGATTTCTGCATATATGTTTATATATGTGTGTATATATGTATATGTATGTTTCATGTATGTATAGTTCAAAAAAAATTTTGTCTGAATTTCCCTTGGGTACCAGAGTTTTCTTCTTGTCAAATGGAGAAGCTGTACACCCATGTTCTCTTTTTAAAACAAGTTTTCCTCCTTTATATTCCTTGTGCATTCCTTCAAATACCCTAAAAGAATTTATTTCTGTGTGCATTTGCTTACTATATTTCTGAAAACATAAAATTCATCAATTTACTCACTTTCACCACTTTGAGTTTAGAGGCCAGTGCTTTGTCATTAAGTAAATCAATTTGTTTTTTTAATCCTAAAAGATGAAAACAAAGTTGTATCTCTTTCCATAATCTTCTAGTCCACTCATTGTACTTTGAACTTGTTCCTCTGTAAAAATAGTACAGTTATGTGAAATAATTTTTGACTGTTGGGACCTTCTTTGTTAGGAAAATATTTTGTGTATAGTAATGGACTTATGGATCATCTATGTGTCTGTGAAGAGGAAGGCAACAAAGCATGGTATAAGAAACCAGGACGTTTCCAGGGTACATTGGTAAGATTATGTTATTTATAATCACATTATGTTTTCTGTTTTTATATTTAATCTATGTATGAAAGATTTTCCAATTGCAGGAGAGTATTAAGTCCATGATATAGTTAGCACACTTATTCACAGTTAGAACGTAGATGTTGAGGCAGGAAAAGGGAGGTACTTCTTTGCTTTTAATTAACTTATTAACTTTCATCTTCTCATGTTTTTTTATGTGGAAAGAAAAAACAGAGTCAATTTTTTTAAACATTTTTATTTTTAAAAAAATATTTATTTATTAGAGAGAGATTACACAGATGCAAGGGGGTTGGAGGGGCAGAGGGAGAGAGAGAAAGAAAATCCACAAGCAGACTCCCTGCTGAGTGCGGGGCCTGACTCTGGGCTTACTCCCACAACCCTGAGATCATGACCTGAGCCAAAATCAAGAGTTGGCTGTTTAACCAACTGAGCCATCCAGGTGCCCCTAAACTATTTTATTTTGACATAATTGTAGATAATATGCAATTTTAAGAAAAATATACAGACAGATCCCATGTACCTTTTTCCTCCTTCCCCCCAGAGGTAACATCATATGAAAGTAGTACAATATCATAACCAGATATTGACTTTGATACATTAAAGGTATAGAACAGTTCCATCACCACAAGCATCCGTCCTGCTTCCCTGTTACAGCTACCACCATTTCCTTTGTGCTCTCAGCTGCTCCTCGACTCCTGGCAGCCACTAATGTGTGCTTCATTTATATCATTTTCTCAGTTCAAGAATAGAATCAACAAAAATAACATTTTTGAATTAGTACTTTTCACTTAGCATAATTATCTGGAGATTCATCCAAGTTGTTACATTTATCAATAGTTTGTTCCTTTTATTGCTCACTAGTTCCATGGTATTGATGTACCGGTTTGTTTTCTGGGTTGTGGCCAGTTTTGAGCTGTTTCAAGTAAAGCTGCTACAGGGGCGCCTGGGTGACTCAGTCGTTAAGCGGCTGCCTTCGGCTCAGGTCATGATCCCAGGGTCCTGGGATCGAGCCCTGCATCAGGCTCCCTGCTCAGCGGGGAGACTGCTTCTCCCTCTCCCACTCCCCCTGCTTGTGTTCCCTCCCTCCCTCTGTGTCAAATAAATAAATAAAACCTTGAAAAAGACAAATAAAGCTGCTACATAGATTCATTCTCGAGTTTTTGTGTGAAAGTAAATATTAAAACAACAACAAACTACTCACTGTTTTTCTCTGGGAACACTCTATTTACAACACTTCTAAACCAGATATATGGGTTTTTTCCTCCGTGCCAAGCAATTCCTCAGTTATCAGTGAACACCAACCAGGTATCCTAGAGTTTAAGTCAATACTGACGCCATTAAGACTGCTCCCATTTCAGATGCCATTCACAAGCCAGGTTGTCACCCGTGTTTCTGATAACTGGCTATAAATCAGAGGTTCCCACAACCCCCTTCCTGGATTCAGTGGGTTGCTAGAATAGCTCACAGAACTCCAGAAAACAGTTTACTAACTAGATGACCAGTTTTTTATGAAAGGATACAACTCAGGAGTAACCAGTTAGAAGAGATGCATAGGGCAAGGCTTGGGGGGTGGGTGTGGAGCTTCCCTCTCTTGGTGTGTCACCCTCCTTGTACCTCCATGTGTTCACCAACCTGGAAGTTTCCAGACCCTGTAGTTGAGGGATTTTTATGGAGGCTTTCTTATATAGACGTGATTGATCAAATTTATTATGAATAACAAAAGATACTCTTTTCACCTGTATTCTCTGGAGCTATTTTAGGACTGAGAACAAAAGGCTGAATATTATAACAAAAGATGCTTCCGTTGCTCTTTATTAATTAGGAAATTACAGTGATTTTAGGAACTGTTTGCCAGGAACCATGGACAAAGACCAAAATGTATTATTTCTAATTATAAATCATACTATCAGCATAAGTCTTCATTTCTCTGGGATAAATACCCAGGAGTGCAGTTGCTAGGTCATATGGTAGTTGTATGTTTAGAGTTTAAGAAACTGTTTTCTAGACTGGTGGTACCATTTTACATTCCCAGCAGCAGTGTGTAACTATTCTAATTTCTCCACATCCTCACTAGCCTTTGATGTTGTCACTATTTTTATTTAGCGGTTTTGAGAGATGTGTAATGATAACTCACTGTGGTTTTAATATGCATTTCCTTAGTGGCTACTGATACCGAACATCTTTACATATGCTTATTTATTAGTATATCCTCTTCAGTGAAATGGCTCTTCACGTCTTTTGTCCATTTTCCAATTGAACTGTTTGTATTTTTACTATTAAGTTTTGAGAACTCTTCATAAAATCTAGACAATAATCCTCTTGAGAGTGGATTTGCAAATATTTTTTCTACTCTTTTTTTTTTCATCCTCTTAAACAGGGTCTTTCATGGAGTTGAAGTTTAATTTTGATGTTCAATTTATTATTTTTCTTCTTGCTTTAGGTGTCAAATCTAAGAATGCTTTATTTATCTTTAGACTGGAAGATTTTCTCCTGGTTTTTTTCCTATAAGTTTTATAGCTTTATGTTTTATATTTAAGTCCTTGATCCATTTTGAGTTATTGTTATAGGAGGTATGAATCTGAGGTTGACCTTTTCATTGTTTTTGTTCATTTTGCCTGTGAGTATCCAGTTGCATTTGTTGAAAGCTGTCTTTCCTCCAGTAAGGTGCTTCTGCACATTTGTCCACAATCAGTTGGGCATACTGGGAGGATCTGTTTTTGGGTTCTTTATTCTTTCTCATTTATTTGTCTATTACCTATATCAGTAGCACAGTCTTAATTACTGTAGAAACATAATAAGTCCTGAAAGACTGATTTCTCCCACTTTATTCTTATTTTTCTTGTTCAAAGTTATTTTAACCATTCCTAAAATTCCTTTGTCTCTTCATATAAATTTTAGAATAATGTTTTTATATCTATAAAAAAGTCTCGCTAAGATTTTTATAGAAACTGTGTAAAACCTAAATAACATCTTTACTGTGTTGACAATGAACTGAGTTAACAGGAGAAAATCAAAGTTAACTATGTATGTATTTTTCTATAAGAAAATGTAGCCCATAGGCAGGCAGTTGAGGTTTATTTGTCATCCACAGTTAAAAAGGGGAAAGGGTCTGGGGTTTCACAAGGAAGGAAGACAATTCACTGCAAGATGAAAAAGTAAATGTTTGGCAAACAGATGTGTGCTGGGCCACACAGAAACAGTGGGACACAGAGAGGAATTTTAACAGACAGGATCCTCCCTACCACACCTAGTTTATATTACACTATAGTTATCTATGGTGATAGCTCCCTTCCTAGAGCAGTTCCTCTTTGTAAAGTCTTTTAGACAGAGGGAAGGTCAAAGGTTCTTCCTGAAGCTTCTGTTTCTTGAAAATATTCAGCCTAAAATAATCTGCATGCCAAAGAGTTGCATTTTGTGGTGCCAAATTTTGCTCCCCTATAAAAGCATAAAATTGAGTCATTTTTTTTAACTACTCTGTCAGTTTTTATCTTTAGTTGATGTATTTAGACTATATTTAATAGAGTTACAGGTACTGTAGAACTTAACCCTCATTAAAAAACAAAATTCAGCTGAGTAAATTTGAAGATCTAATTGGCTTTATTCAACAATTCATGATTTGGGCGGCATTGCATCTAGCAAGTAGAAGGGAGCTCTGATGAGACTTTATAGGCAGAGGACTTTTATAGGCAGAAGAAAATGGGGCAAAAAAGTTATTATTCTAGCAGAGAGTGGATTGTTACAGGCAATGTAACAATCTTTTGAGGGAATTTGGGGGGTCTCTCAGGCAGATTACTAACTTGGTAATTATACATTGGTTAAGGTCATGTTCTTGGGAGAGGCTGAAACTGCAGTTAGGTTACGTACGTTGGGGTTAGCATAAGTGACTCCATTTTGGGCCTGTTGTCTCATTGTTAACAGCCTGCCATTTCCTTTTTTGGTTTTGTTTTTTTAAGATTTTATTTGAGGGTGCCTGGGTGGCTCAGTCGTTAAGTGTCTGCCTTCGGCTCAGGTCATGATCCCAGGGTCCTGGGATCGAGTCCCAC